TTAAATCATCCAGCACTAATTAGATGTGACATGTTTTGCTAGCTAGGACCAAGGACAGTGTGTGGGGAAGGGCGCTAGCCTCAGCAGAGGAATAAGAGACCACCCCAAAGAACAGATAATAATTTTATGGCGACATGAGAAATAACATGTTTTATGTCAGGTGTTCATGTTGGAATACCTATTCCCTGGATGGTGGCAGCATTAGATGTTGATACAAGGAAGTGGGAGAGAAATAAATACACCCACTGAAAGGTAGTGGTGTGAGCAAGACAGAAAGAAAGAGGGAGACAAATGTATCATGAGCATTCTGTAATTTGCTGCCTGAAGAAGTCTTCGACTTAGTTTGAAACCTCGACTCCAACTTGGAAATGAAGAACAAAATTCCATGAAACTAGACTGTGGGAATGGTTGTTAGCCTGCATCCTTGTAGATTCTTATATAAATTGATTTACACAACTTTTTTTTGTCTTATAACATCGTCCTACCTGAACAACACCAATCCAGTGATATCTGGCAACAATTCAATCCTTGCCTGCCTTGTAATCAAAACAAACACAATGTGAGACAGGGAGAGGCTTGGGTTGAAGTGATCAACTTCATGGTTAGCTGCAGGATTTGATTGTGGACACACTCAGTGACCGAGGATGGAACGGCATTGTAATGTTGCCCCACAGCATTATACATTCAGCTGAAATTTGTAAAATCTTTCTATTAAAATAAATATCAGGAAAATATGTTGCTTACTTTTATAAATGTTTACTTTTATTGCTGTTTTGAGGGGGGGGATTCCTTCTTTACCTTTTAATTGAAATAGTGTGGAATGTTAATATTTTGATGATGTCATTATTTTCTCTTTGAGTTGACATGTACTATCCATTTTAATTGTTGCTGTTGTTGAAAGTGATGTGGCTTCTGTTATTTGATACAATTCTTTGTGATTCTGTAGCACCAGACCACATGGTTTGAAGAAGTATGGTCCTCACAAAGACCTACAGGGTTCATTCACTAAAAGCCATTCTTAGCTATTGATCTGAGAAAGTGATTGCATTTTTGAAAGAGTTTGGTGCCATACATAACATCTATATGAGAATCTCAATCTGATAAGACTAAAAAAACATCACATTGAGTTTTTAGGTTAATATTTTGATTTTGTAGCTGTTTGTGGTATTAGGAAAAGGATTTCAGTCCCAGCTTATTCTATATTCAATTTCCTTTTCTCTAATACTAAATGTGTTATAATTGATCCACACACTGAGGTATTTGAAGTGTTTACTATTCATTAATTCTGCATTCTCAATTTTTATGATGGATTCAGGGTATGTGCCATCACTGTTTTCATTCCAATTCCAGATTATAGTTTCTGTTTTGGAAAGGTTTATCTTCACTCCTATTTTCTTGGAGCACTTGGTAGAGGATATTTTCATTTTTATGATGGATTCAGGGTATGTGCCAACACTGCTTTCATTCCAATTCCAGTTTCTGTTTTAGAAAGGTTTATCTTGGTTGAGGATGTTGATTTTTTTTGTTTTTTGTTTTGTTCAAAATCATTCTTATCCCAATTATGAATACCTGTGGCATTAGCATAGCCTATCCCCACACCACATCATCAGTACATGGGACTTGGGAGAGAAAGCAGGATGCAGTATGAAATGCTTAAATAGCCTGTGTCCATCTGTGCTTGTAAATATGCATGGCATAGTCTGGGAAAAGATTAAATAGACTGGGGCCCTCATTTCCTACTTGTGCTCTTGATGAGCTTTGAAATGTTTCTGTATTAGGGTCCTTGCCAGATATGTATGTTTTTGTGGAATGATATAGTTTGACCATTCCATTTAAAGCTTGACCATTACAGTTTCAAAGCTGAATAAGGACACACATTGGACCATGAGGACATTTACCAAATATTGGTAGTCCTAAATAAGTAAAAATTTGGAATTTGTTTTATTTATATAAGCAAATTCTTTATTCAAAGTAACTTCCTTTCAGCTAGCTAAGAGGCATGACATTTTTCTCTTTAGTGCCTCATTATCTGAATGAACACCAATGGGGCACTAAATCAAGCACATATGGTTTTAGAATCCATCAGTCATCTCTAATCACTTCACTAGGCATGAGAATTCAAGTATGTAGAACAAAGTATTTCTACTTGAATCTGTCTTTAAATCTTGTCTATTTTATGTCTGCATGTGGAAATTTATGTAGGAAATGTGTGTGTGTGTGTGGGGGGGGCAAATATTTACCCAAACCCTGTATATCAACTTGCAGACTTTAATCAACAATATTCATAGCAGTGTAAAGCGGTGGTTCCCAAACAGTGTGGTGCGCCTCGTAGGTGTGGTGGAAGAGGATAGCAGGTGAGGCGGGATGATTGAAAGACAATTAAAGATTTAGAAACAGTTTAAAAAAGTCATATGTCAAGAATAAATATGGTTTCAAAATTTAAAATATTATTATGGATTACTTGTAAATGAATGCATGAGTACCAGTAGAAATAGTTATGATTATTGACTGATTTTATCATTGTGATATTTTTGCATTATATCAAGTATTAATAATATAGTAACAAGAGTCTGCAAATTGGAGGAGAGATTTGTCAATAATAATGTTCTGATATTGAATCCGTGGTTATCTCCCTTTAATCCACTTTCTGGACCTTCTTTGCTGTAGGGGCTGCTTGCACCTTTTTACTTCCTTTAAATGAGACAAGAGCAAATTTTAATTCTGAAAATGCAGCCTAGAGAAAAAAAATTTGTGAACCACTGGTGTAGAGTGAAAAAAAAGTCATCAGACGGGTTGTGATGCCTACTCTATGAGTGCAAGATTCAGAATTTAAAAAAAAAATTTTCTCCTTATTGTCTGCAGTCTTGAACATATTACTTGTAATTTACAATGTTTTATATACATTATAAATCATTGCAGTTCTGTTGTAATGAATAACATCCTGTGCCTCCAAGAATGGTTATACTTGGATTTTTATACCTTCTTGAGTGATAACAAGAAAATGTGAGACCTTTAGAAGGCTTTAACAAGATGGCTACATTATATTTTGAAGAGTGACAACAAAGGGAGGTTATTAATAGTAAGTCAAAATGGAGATTACTAGGAAAAGACCTGTTCCCAAAAGGAGACAGGCAAGTGTTCAGAATACCACACTTTCTATATTAGTGATACTAAGTTTAGATTGTTCATTACAGTGTACAATTGACCAACACTGCCTGAAGTTTACTTGCTGTGCTGGATAGGTGAAGCATGTTACCACTCTTAGTAATACTGCCAGCCTTAGCAGATGAACCTGCTGTTGAAGACTTCTCATGTATATAGATATATATTCTTGCGTTCTAGATTTCTGTTATGAATGCTTTCAGCAAATTTGTGAGTGGGAAGGAAGCCAATGTCTTGTAGAAGTTAGACTGAGACATAAGTAGAGTAACTGTAATGTAATAATTGCTTTGGCGTCTTTCAAAATGTTTCTATAATTATCTTGTAAAGACTTAATGAATGTCACCCTGAGATTTCTGGTCATTCAGTATGCTAGCATAGAACCTATGGCGGGAACTACTTCTAGTTAGACAAAATGCAATGTCAATAATATTTTGCACATGTAAATGATGGGTGTAAGGAAATGGAAGACAATTTCAACAAGGCAATATTTTAGATTTTGGTTTTTATATAGCTGAGAAAAAAAAGAGAAAAAATACACTGGTATGCATACAAAACAAAGAAGACATTACAAGTTAGGAATTATGTGGGTGATATATATGTGTGTGTGGGGGGGGGGGAGAGTTCAGTCATTAAGGAGAAATCTACCCAGGAACAAGGTCCAGGTGGTGTTGTCACTAAGGCATGCTGGAAAGAAAAGAGAAAGGCAGGAAGTGTCCATTTTTTATACTTGCTTGGTAGCCCCCTCTAACAACTTCTTGAAAAAACAGGCCAAGCTCTGTGGGATAACCCACACATACAATGAAAATCTATTGTCAAATGTTTTTCAACTTTTAGTTTAAAAACATGTCTGTGTGTGTGTGTGTATGTATATATATATATATATATATATATATATATATATATATATATATATATATATATATATATAAAGGAGGCTGCAAACAACTGTGCTTAAAAGGTGCAATAAAAAAAAAAGTGCTCGATAGAGAATTCTGATAAATTTGAGTTGTAGAGCAAAATGTAATCAGGAAGACCAAACCTCAAGCTACCACACTATTTAGGTTTTGACCATTAGGTCTCCTCAGGCAGGTAGAATGAAAGATTTTAGTTGATCCCACTACCATTATATACAAATACTGGAAGTTGAAGGGAGAGAGACAAAGAAGGGAAAAGGCAGAATGCGGGGGACATATTTTCATCCAAGTTTGTACATACATGATAAATATTTACTAAGGTGTCTACATTTGGATAAATTACTTACCCCTCTTCAATTTTATAGGCAGATCACACAAATGCATGCTGGAATTTTTCCTAGCAAATAAAATAGACCGGTTCTTGGTTTCACCCGACTCAGTCCTGGTTTGTCTTGTCTTGATGTCAGAATGCTACATTCACTTGTCCAAACTTGCTTTTGTGTGTCAACCCCATTTTATAGTTTAAGTTTTTGCCATATTACTATTAATTTGCCATGCATATATTGTTTACTTTATAGTATTTTTGTCCTCTTCTTTTTCTTATTATTGCTTTGTTAATTCTGTTTGTCGGATAATTCTGTTACTTTTTTTGCATTTAACCATTGCTATCCATTCCACACCATAATATCTAAAGAAAGCTAACATGAAACAAAAGAAATATATTATTAGCCTGATCTCCCCTACTTACTAATATTTCACTGTGTTATGATATTTGGAGAAAGTTATTTTCTTTTTTTATTTTTTTTTTTTAATTGGTGTGGTTCTATTTAACCTTACCCTTTAGAAAGTTTTTTTTTTTTTTTTTTTTTTTTTTTTGCTTGCTGTTTTTAAGTTAATTATTGATGGATTCTTTTCTTCTTTTAGATAATGGCAGATGTATTGGATGGCGGCCAGATCCTCAAAAACCATACTCATGGTTATCCTATAACGATGTAAGTATTTACCTAATATTCTGTTTCTGTGCCAAGTTCATTCTTTTGGCGGCTTTTCTCTCTTTCTGTCTCTTACTAAGCATCCAAATATTTGGAGGGAAGATATTTAAAAAAAAAAAAAATTCTAAGAATTTTCAAAACTTAATCTAATGGTAGTATCATCATTTGGGATGTTGTTTGTCATGTTAAGAGTTTAAATAAAATCTTATTATTTTTATCATGTTTTCTGTTTGTCTTATGATTGTTTTTGTATCACACCTTATGATCTGTAGCAAAGCAGATTTAACCAGAAATAAAACAGTATCTTCCAACTAGATTTGAATTTACATCCCATATTCCGGAAATGCATTGGACATTGCCTTCATTAATTTGGCCAGACTTAAGTTAAGCAGAACCAAGACTACAATCTGATAATTCATTCATTTTTTTTTTCTCATGCCATATTGCATGTTTTATACCTAATAGAAAACAATATTTTTCTGACTACTCAGATGAACTATTTTCATTAATTTTTGCTTAGTATTTCATTTTATCTTGCTGCGTTTCATCACAATAATTAGCTTCTTACATATGACTTAAATCAACATGCATCAAATATTTTTGTATTTTTGAAGACATTTATATTTTGAAAATAAAAGGTCACAAAAATGTAATTTCAAGATTAGTTTGTTAAACAAACATTAAAAGAAAAATAATAATAGTACTGCTTGCTTTTATTACCAATATTAAGATAAGTTTGATGGTAATTTTTTTTTTTCCTTGAAAACAACCAATGATGATCATAAGGGCTGGCATCTCAATCTTTAATTTCATCAAGTTCCTTGATACATTTCCAAGATTAAAGCAGTTCATTCAAAAGCAGATGAAACTTGCCAAAAGGCTCAATAGACTTTCTTTCTGCTCTATTTAATAAGACGTTTAAATTTAATGCTTTAGAAAGAAAAATCCTTTTCTTTTTCTGTTTCAATAAGCAATAAAAGGATAGACTTATGTACTTTATACTAAACTAAGTAGGGTTTTATTTGCATTTTGAAGGTGTGTTAAGTGTAGCGCTATGGATTCTTGGCTTGATTTTACAAGTAAGCAGAAGCAAAATTTTTTTTTTTTTTTTTCTTTTTTTTTTGTGTGTTTTTTTTTCACCTTGGAAAGGTCAGCGGAATAAACTTGGATATCTATTTTCTTTTTCTTTCCATATATCAAAAACATGAATGTCAATGAACTTTTTATTGTTTTTATTCTTTACATCAAATTTTATAAGTGGGACAATGAGTTAAGCTCTGATAATTTCTTTGTCTTTTAGTAGGGTAGGGTGGCTAACCTGGAAAGTATAAGTTTTCTTTCTTTTTTTTTTTTTTCTTTCTTTTTTTTTCTTTTTTAATTGTTTTTGTCTTTTTTAATTGTTTTTGTCTTTTTTAATTGTTTTTGTCTTTTTTAATTGTTTTTGTCTTTTTTAATTGTTTTTCTCTCTTTTTTTCTCTCTTTTTTTTTCTCTCTTTTTTTCTCTCTCTTCTTTCTTCTCTCTTCTTTCTTCTCTCTTCTTTCTTCTCTCTTCTTTCTTCTCTCTTCTTTCTTTCTCTTCTTCTTTCTTCTTTCTTTCTCTTCTTTCTTCTCTCTTCTTTCTTTCTTCTTTTCTCTTCTTTCTTCTCTTCTTTTTTTCTTTTTTTCTTTTCTTTTTTTTCTTTTTTTTCTCTCTTTTTTCTCTCTTTTCTCTCTCTTTTTCTCTCTTTTTTTCTCTCTCTTTTTCTCTTTCTCTCTTCTTTTCTCTCTTTTTCTCTCTCTTTTTTCTCTCTTCTTTTTTTTCTCTTCTTTTTTCTCTCTTTTTTTTCTCTTCTTTTTTTTCTCTTCTTTTTTCTCTTTTTTCTCTTTTCTCTCTTTTTCTCTCTCTCTTTTTTTCTCTCTTCTTTTCTCTCTTTTCTCTCTTTTTCTCTCTTCTCTTTTTTTCTCTCTTTTTTTCTCTTTTTCTCTTCTTTTTTTTTCTCTTTTTTTCTCTTTTCTTCTTTTTCTCTTTTTCTCTTTTTTTTTTTCTCTTTTTTCTCTTTTTTCTCTTTTTTTCTTTTTTTTTTCTTTTTTCTCTTTTTTCTCTCTCTTTTCTCTCTCTTCTTTTCTCTCTCTTCTTTTTTCTCTCTTCTTTTTTCTCTTTTTTCTCTTTTTCTTTCTTTTTTTCTTCTCTTCTTGCCCCCTCTTTTTCTCTCTCCTTTCCTTCTTTTTCTCCTTTTCTTTTTCACTTTTTTACATATATTTCTGATTAGTCAAAAATTTAAAAGAGTACTTATTAAAAGCAAGTACACATTTGTAAAGCTGAAAGGAATTGTTTGTCTGCCAAGTTTCTCGTATATTCAACACCAGTAATCAGTGAAGAGCAAAGCATCTCTTAAGTTTGTCCTGTGAGGTTGGAACTGCTAATTTGCTGGTAGACAAAGAAATCCTTAATGCTAAAGTATCTTCTGTTAATAGTGTTGAAAGAAAAGTCCAGCATAATTGTATTAGCCAGTCTGAATTTCTGGGATGAGGCATTATCTTTATTTACATGTTGACTATTATAGTCATCTTTGTTGTTTTTATCATAACATTTCAACTGTTGTACCTTCTGGTCTTCATTGGGTGCTTGTTGATCAAGATAAGCTTCAGGGAATTTCCAGCTGAATTCTTTATTTAATCTGCTGGGGTAAATTGTTCTGATTCTGCTAACCATATCTAGGAATATCTTGTTTAGTTGATATTAATACTGCTCAGTTATGGCTCACTTTGTTTCAACTTAGGACAAGGACACATTACCCAGAGATTGAACTCACAATTCACCATCATCATCGTCATCATCCTTCATCCTCCCTATGGTTGTTTGGTCTTGAATTGCTGTCCCTATATCCCCAATGTCCAACCCAGAGTACCAAGCTATGGTGTCTGGGGGAAGTTAATTTTTGTGAGAAGACACTTCTAGAAGGATGCCATAGGAGTAAGGATGAGATGATTTCCCTTTCCATTTAGTTATAATGGCCAGCAAACTGTATACGTTTTTGCTCTCTTCATGGCTTGAAAGAAGTCTTTAGCCTTGAGTGGCACTCTTTCTAGAGATGGTACCTCGACAAAAACACCTACCCAGATATAGGCTTGGCGTCCCACAATTTGTATCAGCTGCTGAAAGAACTATCAACTTACAATTACTATGTCATCAAGTCTAAGTGGATTGAACTCAGAATTACTGTCACCAAATGTCACAAACCAATGCTTTAATCCACTTGGCTTTTTGTTGTATAATTAAAAATGTATTTAAACTAAACAAACAAAAAACACACAGACAAATGTTTTTTTCATTTAAAAAAAATTCTTATGAGTGAAATGAGACTAAAAATATATCTATGAAAAGGTAATATAACTAAAGACAAAAGGAAAACTTACCTTAGTTGACGTGTTTTGTCCTCATATGGACTTTATCAGGATTTTATTTTGCAACAATATTTATAAACAAAAACATCTGAAAAACTATAAAATCCTTATATTTGCCTTGATAAAGTCCATATGAAGACAAAACACATCAGCTAAGTTTTTCTTTGGTCTTTATTCACACACATATTTATGTGAAGGGTTTTATTTTTTTTAATTTAATTTTACTTTTCATTTTTCTTTTTCTTTTTTTTGTAATCTATTTGTTTTTTTTGTTTTTTTTTTCCGTAATAAATTCATTTTTTACAAATTTATTTTCCTCATAAGATAGTGGAACAGTCCATTTACTTAACAGTAAATTATAAATAGCAATTCTCAACGGTCAATAAATATTATTATTTTTAAATTTATTTAAATATAATTTTATATGTATTTAATGTTATTTTAATGGTATGACGTTTCTTATATTTTTAACGGTCAACATAAACTCGAGTAAAACGACCAAAGGCAATTTTCATTTTTCCATATAATATTTAAGAAAAACTGATGTATTTTCGAAAATGAATTGACTCGAAACGACTTAAGCCAAGGTATCACTGTATTAATGGAAATATGAAATTTATCACTTAGCTGAGTGAAGTTATATCAGTCCTTAAAATGCACAAACAATAAATTACACAACATCCAAGCAACCATTAAAGAATGTGTGTGTGTGTGTGTCTACTTTACATGTCCCTCTTGCTTAGCCTTACACCATAATGAGGTGCTTCATAAAATAGTTTGTTGATTTCTGGTAAAATGCTTTTTATCTTTGTATTTTCTCTCTTAGGTTCTTGTTAGGGCATCTCATATTGGAGCTGGATTAATTCTTGAAGGACAGAAACCTCAAAATACTACCCACATTGGAATTTACTCCCAGAATAATCCTGAGGTAGGTAATGAATAATTGATTATAAAATTTAATCCGATTCAACCTGACCCATATCTTATATGCAATATAATGTATATTCATATAATGTACGCAATGTAATTTTTAAGCAATTAATAAGTATCTTTATTTCAATATTATTTATTCTATCAATGTTATTTAAGTAGACATCCGTTTATTCTTTTACAAGTGAAATTAATAATGTCTATATTTGAGGAGTACTTTTAAACACAATTTTGACCTTTTGACTCGTACAATGAAAAATCTCTTCTAGGATTTATAAAAAATTCAGTCTAATAAAAACTATTTTAACACAAGTGTTAAACCTTAAAGATATTGTTCTAAAAATAAATTCAAAGTTGAATGACAGTTAAGAGTTGGTCCAAATTGTTGTTATAGACAAGCGTATGGTTGCAAGAAAGATACAACAACAGCAGAAATAGATTTACGTGATTTATTTCAACAGGAACGTGCGGATTTGGGACAGCTACCTTGTGGTAGAGTTCATAAGCCGGCTTTGGATCTGGGTTGATCTCCCATAGTAGTTCACACTGGTTGGCGCTGGCGCTTTCCCTGCTGACTGCTGCTGACCGCTCAGCCTGACCGTGACAGGTCTCTTCCCTGGCCTCCTGTTGACTGCCCGTTGTACTTCCGTGTGACTGCTTTTATGGTGTTTTTTTATGGCTTAACAGGCTCGAAAAACGACGCGAGTATAATTAGGAGGGGAGCATTTTTATTGGTTGAAAAATAGAAACACTTTAAAATATTATTTTATTTTTTGACCGGAACTCATGTGTCGGGCATATGCATAAACGGCGATAATGGTCATTTTGTGACAGGGCCTTGTCCTGTTCACATCCGGCTCTCGCTCTTGAGTATGTTAGTTTATTTGCCTGTAAATCAGCCAAGATATGTCTTATTTTATTTTATAACATTGTTTATAATATTCAATTGTGTATTTTCAGTTTTTTCTCTCCGAACAAGCTTGCTACATGTACTCAATGGTGTTGATTCCACTATATGATACATTGGGACCAGAGGCAGCATCATTTATTGTAAACCAAGGTAAGCAGCACATTTTAATTAATATTATCATACAGAAGAAGAAATAGAAACAGTACTTTCAGCATTAATGTTTTAGAATATAGTTAGAACAATGTGGATTCTCTAGAGATTAAATAATATTGCTATAAAGTAGGTATTAAATACAGTAGATTGTTAAGGACAAAATGACAACAAAGTGTGAATTTCAGTAAGGGGAAATTACGCTTTTGAAACCTAACAAGAAGCATTTTTTTTTTCTTTCTTCAATATCATGTCTCTTCAGGACCTACCCAATCATTGTCTTTTGCAGCTTCCTTTTCTTTATCTGAATTGCAATATTATCTCTGTGAAAGATAGTGATTTCCTGTTGTCTTCTTTACAATTTTGAATTCAAAATTATCCTTCTCAGACGCAATGTTAGAGAACGCTGCTATTTATCCATAGCTGGTAGGGAGAAGAAACAGATTCATGCCTTTCCTGAGGGTATTAGTGCAAAGTGGTAGGATGGAACTTGAAATCACCTCAATTGATTGTACTTTCTGATAACCATTAAGCTACCTACCATATTCACAATGTTTTGGGTGTTGTATGCTCCAGCCTTTTCAGGTAATTGGAATTTCAAACTGAACCTTTTATCTCATCTACCGAGTCTAGATTGTTCTAGTTCCATGCACCATTCCTCTTCCAGATGTCTCAGTTATTTTCCCTTTAAGTCTCTAAGTTTTGGTTTGCCTGGTATTGAACAAATAATGTAAATAAAGTTAAATAATCATAATACCTCATCTCAGAGATATAGACAGATATATAGAGAGACATAGACATAAAGGCCGGAGCATACAACGGCCGAAACGTTGTGAATATGGCAATGAAGATGAGGTTAATAGTCCAAATAATGTAAATAATGCAAGTAATCATATTACCTCATCTCAGAGATATAGACAGATATATAGAGAGACATAGACATAAAGGCCGGAGTGTACGATGACCAAAACATTGTGAATATGGCAATGAAGATGAGGATAACAGTCTGAATAATGTAAATAATGGAAGTAACATTAATACCTCATTTCTAGACAGATACAAAATGAGTTTTTAATTTCTTTACTTGTTTTTCTTTCATTTTATCATTGTTACTTTTTACTGCAATGTTCAGATAGTTTTTTTTTACATTTAACCATGTCAGACTGAGATTTTGATATGGATGCCATGCATGGTGCCAAACAAATTCAGAAATATATAAACTGTCGGCTGCATACAACCGTCTTCTTTAAATCCTTGATTAAATATGGTTTTGAGTTAAAGGGGCATGCAAGTTTTAGTGAGGACCATCATTCTTCGAACTTTGTGACTTGGCACTACAGAATCACAAAGAAAGAACTGCACCAAATAACAGAAACCAAATCATTTGGGAACTCTCAAGAGCGGCAACAGCTAAAATGGATAACATATTTAACTCAAACAGAAAATAATGACATAATCAAAATGTCAGTATTCCATACTATTTTAACAAAAAGTTAGGAAGGAAGACCCGATCAATACTGGAAAGAGTGATAACAGTGGACTTAAAAAATTTGTTTTCCTGAAAAGTTGCTTTACTAGAAAGATTTTATAAATTTCAACCCACTGTAACACTGCTCAGTCAATGAATGCTGAATGTTTCCTTATAAGGCAATGGCTAATATTACCATCACCATTAAGTAAGCAGCATTGATCATATAGAAATAGCCTCTGATGAGATTTGAACTGCTTTTAAAGAACAAAAGAATTTAATCTAATAAAATTGGACAATTGAATTTATCATTTGTAGACATTTTCATAATCCTTTTTTTCTTTCTTTCTTTCTTGCAGCTGAAATTTCACTGGTTATATGCGACAAAAACAGCAAGATGATGAATTTGTTGAGACGTAAGAGCAGTATGAAATGTTTAAGAACAGTTGTGTGTATTGAAAGTCCGAACAGTGAAGTTGTTAGTATGGCTGAAGCGAATAATGTGAAGTTGATTGCATTCCAAGAACTGGTGGTAAGTTTTAGGCACTTTGCTGACTTCTCTTCATCGTCCAATTGTTACTTTTTTTTTCCCTCTTTTATTTATTAATAGTAATTTAATCTAAGTTTTCTTAATCTAGTTTTCTCTTTTACACTAAACAACCAAAAAAACACTTAGACAAATGTCTTTTTCATTTAAAAAAAATTCTTATGAGTGAAATGAAAACTAAAAATATATCTGATAATATAATTAAAGACAAAAGGAAAACTTACCTTAGCTGACATGTTTTGTCCTTATATGGACTTTATCAAGGCAAAATGTAAAGATTTATTTTGCAGCAAATATTTATAAACAAGTAAAAATGACTTCAAAACTAACAACCTTTTTACTTTTATTTATAAATACTTGTTGCAAAATAAAATCCTTACATTTTGCCTTGATAAAATCCATATAAGGACAAAACATGTCAGCTAAGGTAAGTTTTCCTTTTGTCTTTAGTTATACACGTATATACACACGGGTCTATGTGAAGGTTTTCATTTTTTAATTTCTACTTTCTTTTCATGTTTCTGTTTTTGTAATCTATTTGTTTTTGTAATAAATTCATTTTTTACAAATTTATTTTTCTCATAAGATAGAACAGTCCATTTACTTAACAGTAAATTATAAATATTTACATATCCCACATGCATGAAACTATATATATATATATATATATATATATATATATATATATATATATATTTTAAAAACAAGGAATGCATTGATTTTAATTTTAAAAGTCTCTAGGGCCCTCTGGTACTGAAGGTAAGCATATTTTCAATTACTCAAGTTTTCACCTTTCAAAGAATGAAAATGCGGTCTTGTCGAGGGGCTTGCAATTTTGTATTCCTCGATTAAGATTGATAAAGAGGAGACACTGGCAGCATTTGAGGTGTTGTTCTCCCAACTTAAACACCATGTTCCTTGTTCATCGGATCACGTTATTACATTGAAGTCAAGGTTGAAAGACTTCGCTTATCGTTATTGTAATTCTTCTATTGACTCTTTTGATTTTGTTTGGTCAAAAAACTCAATTCAAGGTTGTTAAATCATTGAAATCTAATAATGATATTTATATTTGTAAACCGGACAAAGGGTGCTGGTGTTGTTCTACTGGACGGGTAGATTACATCCAAAAGATGTTGATTATTTTGAATGATTCAGAAAAAGTTCAAAAAATTGGTCCAGTTGAAACTTGTGACAACACGTACAGAAATGAAATTAAAATTCAGAAACATCTATTATACTTGTTTAGAAAAGGTTACTTTTCTAAGGAGACTTATGACAGGATTAGACCTTAGACCAAGGCTTTATGGTCTGGTTCCCTTAGACCAAGGCTTTATGGTCTTCCTAAAGTTCATAAGAAGGACGTTCCATTGAGACCAATACTTTCAATGATTGGTTCATCCCAACATTCTCTGGCTCAATGGCTTCTGCAGGTCATACAACCGGTCCAAACATTTTTTGCTAAACATTGTATACCTGATTTGTTCACGTTTGTTGAACGCCTACAGGCCATACAGTATTGCCCTGATACTGATTTTATGTGTTCTTTTGATGTGTCCAGTCTGTTTACCAACGTACCATTGAGGGAAACTATTGATATCTGTGCAGACTTTTTATACGAAGGTAACATTGCTCCACCTCCTTTTCCTAAGGATATATTTATAGAACTTATGATACTATGTACCATTTTGGTGGAGTTCAGTTTTGACAATATTATGTATAGTCAAGTGGATGGGGTCCAGATGGGCAGTCCCCTTGGCCCTGCATTGGCTGATATTTTTGTGGGCTACCATGAGATGTTACTTTTCGGCAAAGTGTCTAAACCGTTTGTTTGGCTCTTGAGTTCTTTAATGAGCTCAACTCCTTACACAATGATTTGTCTTTCACTATGGAAGGGGAGAAGGACAACTGTCTGCCCTTTTTGGACGTTTTTGTTGAACGCAGTAGAGGTGGTTTTATTACTAGCATCTATCGTAAACCCACCTTTACGGGTCTTTATTTGAATTGGCGTTCATTTGCTCCTGCATCAAGGAAAATCAATCTTGTTAAAACCTTGGTGTATAGAGCGCTTAAAATTTGTTCTCCTATTAGATTGGACCGTGAATTTGAGAACATTAGGGAGATTTTCCTTAGTAACGGCTATCCGGAGGCCCTTATTGACTATATTATTAGTAAGAAGACTAAGGAATTTCATTCCCTAAAATCAGGGGCCTTCTAAATGTCCGGTTTATTTGAAGATTCCCTGGATTGGGATAGGGATCAGGGCTTAATTAAGCAGGTTAGCAAGTCGGTTTCGGTTGTTTCCCATCAGTTGCTTTACGTAGCATTTTTGAACTAGGTCTGCGTTTCCGTCTTTTCGCAAGGATGTATTGCCCTACATCAAATTGAGTAATTTAGTATATGAATTTAATTGCCAGTGTGCTGCTGGTTATGTGGGGCGTACAACCTTGCATTTGGAAACTAGAATCAATCAGCACGTACCTTCAAAATACGACTTGGTAAGATAGATAGAAATATGCTATCTTCCCCCATGAATATGGAATCGGCTATTGCTCAACATTTAGTTGAGAATATAGCCCTGCGCCAAGTTGTTTAAAAAAGAGTGGTTTAAAATTATTCATACAGCCGATTCCAACAATCATTTGAAGATTTTGGAATCGGTCTGCCTAGGATTAAGGAAACCTTCTCTCTGCCGGCAGAAAGAATTTGTAAAGTCTCTTAATCTGTTGGGGATATTTTATTTTAACTGTCCTCGCTAATTTATTTTTACGATTATTTCCCCTCCCCGTTACAAGTATATATACTTGTTTTTGTTATTTTAGTGTGTTTCCCCCCTTTTTGCTCTTCATTATCGTTAATATTCTTTTCACTAATCCAACGATTGTCTCCTGATGAGATGTTGGCTGAAAGAGCCCTAGAGACTTTTTAAAATTAAAATCAATGCATTCCTTGTTTTTAAAACTATATATAAATTTTGTACCTCCAAACATTTTGTGTATATATATATATATATATATATATATATATATTATATATGTTATTTTTACATCAGGCACTATTTTTATTGCCACCATTTTACTGTATACTGTTTATTTATTTATATATATATATATATATATATATATATATATATATATATATATATATATATATATATATATATATATATATATATGAATGATAAAATGTAGTTTTAAGGTATGTTATATTTACGAGTAAAAGTGATCAATACCAGGATAGAACATATATAAATATAAGTTTTTCTAAATTATTTAAAAATCGAAAACTAAAAACAAATATCTTTTAAAATACCACTATGAAAAATGCAAATATATGCACTATATACAACTCAGATAATGTAATATACTTTAGACAAAGCCAATAAAATAACCAAGATCTGGAGAAAAATAAATGAATAAATAAAAAAAACAAATTAAATAAATAATAAACTAATTAACGAGCTACAAATGCACTGATAGACACAAGTAAATGTAATAATGATAACTAGCAAGAAATAATTAAGTAATAAATAATAAATAAAAAGTTAACAAACCACAATATAAAATAGCTACAAATAACTGCATTTGGATCCATAATTATTTCTACTAAATAGCTTCTAGAGTAATTTGAAACATAACCTTTACTGCCCACCCAATAACCATCAGGATAATACAATAGATCTAACTATCCATAATGTACCACTGACCAGCATATATAAATAGTCGAGCCAAAATACAAAACTAAAAATGGCACCAAAATCAAAACATTTTAGAAATTTCAAAAAACAATTTTTTTCATTCAATTTAAAATAGTTTTGAAATACACCATAGTATTTTGATGATTAGAAATATTAAATTTAATCTCTCAGCTTGAAATTAAAGCTAAAATAAAAGCTTTAAGAAAGATTTTTCATTATTAAAAATTCATTTTAAATGTTAGGTATCACGTTTTCAAGAAGGTCCCTGTTTAATTGGTATCGAAAATGTCTTCAACAAATTCATATCTTTCCATTTTAGTTTTATTACTTTTTTCTTTTATGAAAAAAAATGTGATTTAAGTTTAATTTTTTTTATTGCAGAAATCAGGAGAGAAAAACCCGCATCAACCAGTGGTGAGTACTTATTAAATCTGTTATATCTCGTCGCCAGTCGTTATATCTCGCAAAAAGATATAATAACAAAGTAAACCCGAGTGGTGGTTTAAATAATAATACTTTATATCGGAATGTAGGAATGTCAAAATACAGAGACAGAGTAAGAGTAAGCTAACCGAATGGTGGAGTCAACGAAGACCTTTGTTGTCGCTCTCTGTTGTCGCTCTCTCGACTGTTTACTGTGGTCGAACTTTATCGGCCACTGGAACGTCCATTTATGGTGAATGGGGAAGTCAGGTTATTTCATCACAACACCTCCCCGGCTGAAATTCTTCCTTTTGAAAATTTCTGCTTCTAATATCAAATCTTCTTTTTGGGTCCGGACTAAACGCTCCACTGGTTTTCTTTGCGTGTGCTCCTTCTTTCAGTCGTCATAATTTGATCCTTTTTTGGCTAAGATAATTTCGCTTTCCAGCCCGTAAAGGCTGGTTCATGTGATACAGGTTCCAATACACTATTGGGTAGTGTCATGTTAAAAGCATCGCATAACACTTCCATCGGAATTTCTTCTTCGCTTTTTCAGTTTCTTCACCATATCATTGGTCTAATCCGATTGATGTGTCTTTACACATAAATTTATTACTTTTAATCATGTAGACCACTTTTTAAAGTTTTTAAAAAAACTTTGTCTCCTGGGTGTATTTTTTTCTTAACATAAACTGTGGGTGAGGCCCAATCTGAATGTTCAACCTTAGATATCACTCCCATTTTTCAAGTCTTTCCAATTCCTTATTAATTGTGTCTAAGGAGGAAAACGGGGCGTTTCTCTTAGGTTTGAAAATTGGTTTCACATTTTCCTTGAGTTCAAATTTGACTTCCGTCTTAGTACATA